AACTACAGGCAGTCTATGTATACAATAATTCCGTGCAACATGTGTCCAATTTGCACCAAGTGAAAAAGATATTATGAACGAGTCACATGCAAGTGCTCCGTGGAAGTGTGACATAATATAAAAAAATATGGAGCACTTCGAGCGAGTGCTCCATAAGGAGCTGTTGGAACAGAGCAGCCAGGTCGCTACGTTGGTGGAATGTTTCGCATGGATAACGATGCGACAAGTGCATTAAGCAACTCGAAGAACTCAGTCGTGTTAAGCGTTCTCGACTTACCGTTGGAAATAGACAATCTGATGGCAAGAATCGCGCGACTTGCAGGTGCAAAAATTCAATTAGAGAGACGTTTCATGCACATCGGTGACGAATATGCGAGCACTAGTGAAAACAATAGATCTCTTGTTTGGCGAGAGATTGATACCGCGTTAGAACACGATTGATACCGTGTTCTAACTGGTGCAGTGATTAATGTGGACTATATCGAACCACGACGATTTTTAAAAGACGCTGATGCTACAGTGCTCGAACGAGTGCGAGACGCTGTAGAAAGACACGGTAGTGTGAAAGGGAACACCGCGTTTAATGGTGAGTTTGTGACAGGCGATAAACACGCCAATAAAAGTATAAACACTAAAAATAGTGAACTTTTTCGAACGTCAAATGTGCACGAATGATACGAACAGCATGTCATCGAATCCACGGTGGCATCGCTCAAAGAGTATCAAAAACGTGACAGTGGATGGGCGCTGTCGCGTCCTCTCAATCTGACTATAAATGTGAATAAACATAATCCTCTACACGCGAGACGTTACTTCGAGTTCTGCGGGAAATTATGTTAAAGCGGTGATCAACGTACAATCAACGAACAATGCGTGTTTCGTGTGATCGATCGTTGCGGCTGTGCATCCGATCGAAAGATATACAGATCGGAAATCATCGTACCCAAATTACATGTCAGTCTTGAATCTCCAAAATATTGAGTTTCCAATCATATTGGATCAAATAAAAAAATTCGAAACTGACAACTCCATCTCCATTAACATTTACGGCTTCGAGGGAAAGGAGATTCTCCCGATATGATTAACAGCAAGGAAGATGGAGAAACACGTAAATTTAATGTGCAGGATCCGCGCGATGACAACGCGGGACACTTTGCGTGTATCAAAAATCTATTCTGCCTCGTGAGCTCGCAAATAAACAGAAAGAAATGCAAGAAATACTTTTACGACAGTATGTCGGTACGTATACATATTTTAATAAATTATATAATATTTTATAATTGTTTATTAAATACTAAAAAGAATCATGGTCTCTCCTTGCAGATGCATTATTTTAATTCATTCGAGAAATTCGCACACGGTGGACTGCCAACGGATGAACGACTGTGTCATTCAATTGCCAAGCGAGAACGACAAGTGGCCCGAATTCAAGAACTATTGCAAAAAAGAACGACTTTCATTTATTGTCTACGCGGATCTGGAGTGCATACTGCGAAATATGGAATTAGAGGAAGAAGATGCGTCATATACATATCAACTAGCGTTGAATACTACGTGCGATGCTCGTACGACGCGTTATCAACGTATCAATTTCGTCGCAGTGAGAACTGCGTTGCGTGATTCGTGCAACAACTTGAAGACTTGACATATCGTGTAAAAATTCTCTTATTCGCGAACGTGGAAACGTTGTCGAAAGAACAGTGGGAGGTTTACTATGACGTGACGTATTGTCATATTTGCGAAAAATCACCCGGACGACACGCGGGTATGCGATCATTGCTATCTTATCGGTCGTTACCGTGGTCCCGCGCATTCGAATTGCAACTTAAATTACAAAGACTTGCATTGTATTACCGTAGTATTCCACAATTTATCTTGTTATGACGCGCACTTTGTTATCATGAAAATAGCTATGGCATACGAAGGCAGAATCGTGCTGTCGATAATTAAGGAAAAATATATTTCGTTTACCAAACACGTTAAAGATGCCGCCGAGAAATCAGATTCGTGAAATTGCATATAATTACGATTCATCGATTAATACAAATTTTTAAGTATAAGCCTCGATAAATTGGCATCTTTTTTAAGCAGAGAAAAATTAAAAATTTTACGTTCTGAATTTTCCACGTTATCGAACGAGGATTTTGATTTATTGACATGTAAAGGTTGTAACAGAGCATATGTAAATGCTCCATTACTAAACATGCGCTATGCGGTCTACACCATTCGGGGCCACTCGAACATCCTCGAACACGACCGAGCGATACATGCGCGCCACTGACCTATCACGCGTCGACGGCATGATAGATCAGCTATTTTACTAAATAATTTTTAACAAATCACGTGTTGACACCTAGCGCAAAAATGGGTATATAAACCAACGAATTTCGACAAAAGAGACCAGTATCGTCCAACCATCCGACCCATCCACTCCGATACTTCGATCCGATCTGACCGATACGACAGTAATATCGAACGTTCTCAGTATTATTCTCGTTCCTCTCCCGCCCGGAAAGTCGGAACGTTTTTGGACTTTTCTTCTGCGGAATACTGGGCGCTCGCGGTATTCTCATTTCCTTCACACACGAAAAGTCGAAACGTTCTCGGACTTTTTCCTCGATGTACGCGTTTAGGAATAGGATAGTTCAAATTGAAATTGCCGTAGATTCTTTATATTTATCTCGTGGATCGCCCGTTACACGTTCCAGCTAGATTTACATCACACGTACCGAGCATGGATACACGCGGTAAACACATGTTCCGTGGAATTTGTGACGTGGCGCACATCTACGGTCCTCAAAATTAGGACGAGTGAACATTATTCGTCGCGCACGACTCGTGTTCGCTTCTCGCTCTCTATCGCTAAACATAATTCAATAGCGTTTTCTAATTCCGGCATCGCAACCGTCCTCTCGTATTCTGAACAAAGTTAGTAATCGTTGCCGCATTTGCCGTGAGAAATGGAGTGACCTTGTGTAAAGTATACACGAAGGCCGACCAAGAACCATAATTTGAAGCGATCTCGCAAGAAGATTTCCGATTTTCGTCGTGTTCTCGAAGATCTCCATTAATTAACGCGAGAAGATTTCCGATGTGTCGTGCGCGAACCGCCCGGTATTTCGACTGCTGAAACTAGCGACAGCCATACTCTCCTCGACCATTAATTGTATGCGTGGTGAATAAACATAATTTTGTAAAATTAAACTGGAATTGTTCGATGAACGATCTTTCCACCTTAATACATGGTTCCTTCATAAGATGGAACTAGTCACCCGCGAACAAATTTAAAAATAAATGCAAAAGATATTGTGCCAAAACTTTTATTCATCTTCATCTTTATTAATATTTGCGGTCATTTTCTTTGTTCAAGAACAGGATCAGATGGGATTTCGAATTTCTTTGTGTAGAGATATACATTACAATAGAGAAGTAATCTGGAAGGGAGGCCAAAAACTGTTACCTGAGGATATTAGGTATACAAATAGTACAAATCTTAGTTTCGGAGCAGTCAGTAACTTAACATTGAGCGAAAAATTATGGACCAAATGAAATTACGATGAATAAAATATTTCTTGTATTAAATAATAACTACAACAACTATTTTAAATTATTAATTGTAGTTAAAAATGAAAATTTTAAACAATTGTTAATTAAATTAATTTTATTTTACATAATAATATAATACATATTTAACATAATAATATAATAAATAAATATTTTCTAGATTAAAAAAAAAGTGAAATAGGCAAGAATAGAACGGGTCGACAGATTGATAGTACAGGGTTGAGCGTCCAAACTACGCGATCTTGACGATGGACTTAACGCGACCAGTATATAAGAAACGCTATAAACTTTAAACCGATTTTTCTCGAAAACAGCTGAGCATGGCGTTCTATCCTTTTGTTTAAAATATTCTTCTAATAGAATACTGTAACATATATAAACCTTTTCAAAATCGGTGATCCTAAGTTCCTCCCCTTGTCAGTATTTATTATATGATGGAACATTATTTATTAGTGTAACATCGATAAAAAGAGTAATATTTTCGTTTTTACTGAATTTGTTCATTTTTATAATTCCGCATCGCTGCCAAAATTTATTTGTCTTCTATTTGAGAGATACTTGAGCTTGACCAAACAGAAACAAAGTAGTAGTGTATTACTAAGAAAAGTCGAAGAGCCATCTTTTCGCGACTCCTCTCAAAAAAAAAGAAAACAGAACCGCCCTCGGCGTCACTCCTCCTCCCCTTGGCGGCATAATTTAAAGGACTGTTGACAAAGCGTTCCCTCCTCTATCCCGCGCCTATGAATTCCCCTCGCACACTTTGAGCCCCATGAGTTAGAATCTGCCTATATAGTGTTGTGGCCGAGCGGTAGTTCGGCTCGTTTTTGGTCTCCAAGTAATGTTGAGAAGATCGTTCCTTGCCAACGCACCGTTGTTTACGACTATTGATTTATTGATTGAAGAGATTCAAATGAGATTCGTGCGAGACGATTTTGAAAGGTTTTGAAATTGTATAACGAACTGTGTAAATAGTTGTTCTTCTTATTAAAATTCGTTCTTTATAAACAGCCTCTATTTATTTACGCGTGTTGCATGAGTGAGTGTTGTGCGAGTGATCACCGCGGAAGCGCGACAATACTTTACTTATATCTCTTCTATTTTCCTTATCAAGTATCTATTCATTCTTTTTTTCTTCGTTATTGCCCATAATTTCTCTCTATTTACGATATCGATGCTACTTTCAAATTTGCAAAAAAATGCGTATACTTTTCGTTCTTTTTTGTTTTTTTTCTATCTTGTTTTTCTTCTCTCCCGTTTATTTTAGTCTATAAATATTGTCTATTTATTGTGTTGTAATTTTTCTTAAATTTTGTGTCTGGTAAAATCTTGTATTTCTCTATTTCCTGTGTGGCGAAGATTATATCTCAATATTGATAAAATGATTTTTATTTATGTTTTATATTACTTATGTTTACAAACAATTAATTTTTCTGCAGGAAATAAAACGGATACATCTATTAAATTTGGACAAGTTACAAGTATTGGATTTGAGTCGTAATAATATAGATCGACTCGGCATTAATACGTTCTCCAGCCTTATTACTCTCACAAGATTGGATCTGAGTCTCAACGCGCTGCGCACGGTACATTGTTGTTTCCAATAAGAATTAGTCATAAAAAGCAGTTACGATTAGAAATCTAATTTTAATATACTTGATTTATTTGCAACAATAACAACAACAACAACAACAACAATAATAATAATAACAAAGACAGATTCATGGCAAGCAGGATCTTAGTTGCTAAATTTTTATTTGAAATAAATTCAATAATTATATCACCAACTACCACTTAGTTTAGCAGGCTCTCAACGTAGTGATTCTATAATAGTGCAGTATCAAATAATTTTTGATACTCGATTAAAATCGCTTTTATTATCCCCCCCCCCTCACGCGAATTATATATTGTGAAAAATATCATCTCAGCCAGGGATCGAACATGGATCGCCTACTCTCCGAGCAGGCATCTTATCTATTAGACCATTGAGGTATATAGTAATATTTATCGCAATACTTAGATAAATAATGTATTGAATGTTTTCGATACGTAAAAATAACAATAAATTGATATCAGCCAGTTTCATGTTAACAATAATAACAAAGATCAATTCATGGCAAGCAGGATCTTGGTTGCTAAAATTTTTTATTTGGAAATAAATTCAATAATTATATCACCAACTA